TGCCTGTGAGTGGGCGCTGTCCCCCGTTTCTTCATCGGCTTGATGACGTGGCGGCGAGAGGCATGGAGAATGATGCGGCATGGCAGCGAGAGGTGTCGAGAGTGACCGACACCACCGCCGATGTTGTGGAACGTTGGCGGTGGTGTGTCGGGGGTGGTAAACGATGGGTAGTGGTGGTTGTGGAAGAGAAGAGGATGGTCACACAGGTGTGACCATCCTCCAAACAACAAATGTGATGCTCTGGGTGACGTTTGAAGCACATGGGTAAGTCACGTGACACAACCCCGCAGACTGAACAAAATGCTCAATCCTTGTTTCAGCTAAGACTTAACTTTACTTATACTTAAACACTACACAATTACTTCCAAATACAATGTTTTATTATGTTTTCGCTTTTTTGTCTATTAATAATCAATAACAACAGGCAATCTATTAATGTTCCATTCAGTGGATCCAGTGGAGTTGGACTGCCACTGGACTCCTAACATTGGTATAATGTTTGTTATAATTCAGTCAATATTCACATTATACCAATGTTTGAAGTCCAGTGGCAGTCCAGTGGACTCCACTGGACTTTGACTGGACTCTGAAAAGTGGCTTGCAGTCCAGTGGGAATCCACTGGACTCCACTGGACTCCACTGGACTGGACTCCAGTGGACTGGGCATTCTGCCAGCCAATCTGGCCTGGTAAGAGAGCCACTAGAGTCCACTGGAATCCACTAGAGTCCACTGGAGTCCATATGGATTACGTGGGGGAGGGTAAAGACCTCGAATCATATGCAAAAGAGACCATGGCAGCCAGTACTTTACCCTCCCCCACATGCTCTGATCAGAGCTAATCAGCTCTGATCAACACTAAGCAGTTCTGATCAGCACTGAGCAGTTCTGAGTTAGAGGTCAGGTGACTTGAACTGTATTTATTAAAGTCAGGGGAATTCAGACCTCATTATAAAATTCACAAGTAAATTGAATCAAAAAATGATGTATTTCAATTATAATACAAAATATATTTAATTACATACAGTTTATACTAGAGAGGGAGGGGATGGGCAAGGGAAAAGGGAAGGGGGAGGGAAAAGGGAAGGGGGAGGGAAAAGGGAAGGGGGGGAGACAGGGACAGGGAAGGGGGATGAATAAAGAAGGGGGAAGAGGGAAAGGGGAGGGGGATGGAAAAGGGAAGGGGGATGGAAAAGGGAAGGGGGAAGAGGGAGGGGAGGGACAGGGAAGGGGGATGAATAGAGAAGGGGGAAGAGGGAGGGGAGGGACAGGGAAGGGGATGAATAGAGAAGGGGGAAGAGGGAGGGGAGGGACAGGGAAGGGGAGGACAAAGGAAGGGGGAGAGAAAAGGAAGGAGGAGGGAAAAGGGAGGGGGCTCGTCGACGTCAACGGTTGACGTCGTCGTCGTCGTTGGCGTCCGTCGACGTGTGGCCGTCGTCGTCTGTTGACGTGTCGTCGTCGTCATCCATTGACGCGTGGCCGTCGTCGTCCTCGTCGTCCGCTGACGTGTCGTGTCGTCCGTTGACGTGTCGCCAACGTCGTCCATCGTCGTCGTCGTTCGTCGACGTGTCGTTCGTCGTCGTCGTCGTCCGTCCGTCGACGTGTCGTCGTCCGTCGACGCGTGGCCGTCGTCGTCGTCGCTGACGTGTCGTGTCGTCGTCGTCCGTTGTTGTCCATCGACGCGTGGCCATCGTCGTCGTCGCTCACGTGTCGTCCGTTGACGTGTTGTCGTCGTCCCTCGTCGTCGTCGTTCGTCGACGTGTCGTTCGTCGTTGTCGTCCGTTGTCGTCCGTCGACGCATGGCCGTTGTCGTTCGTCGTCGTCGTCGTCGTCGTCGTCTGTTGGCGCGTGGTCGTCGTCCATTGGAGTGATGGTGTGGTGACGTGGGGGTGTCGTCGATGATGGTGGTGGGTGAGGAAGAAGAGGGTGAGTGTGAATGATGCCAAATCAAATGTCGGCATTTGCCGAGACTCGTTTAGGAAAGCCAGAGGCGACGATGGGTTATATATTATAATGTTATGTATATTTTAAACAGTCAGATAGCCCAGTGGTAATATTGTGCTTTTGTGATCATGTGATCATTCTATGAATGCCTGGGTTCAATCCTTGTCCATGTATTTATTTTTATTAGTATAATAATAATAACAAGGGTAATACTCATGTACTGCTCAGTTCTGTTCAGCATCAGTCAGTTCTGTTCAGTGTCACTCAGCATTTCAGTGACTCAGTGCTGATCAGAACTGATCAGCGCTGAGTAACTCTGAGTGAGGCCATTGCTGAGCTGCTTTCCAGCCAAAATGGCTGGGAAAGGGGGTATATTAATTCTGATCAGCGCTGATCAGAACATGTGGGGGAGAGACAAGACCTCATGGCAGCCGTTAGAAAAGGGTGTCCTGTCCACTCTTTTAGACTACAGAAGCTTGTAGTGTCCGCTTTTTCTTTAGAAAAGTTTGTAGTGTCTGCTTTTTAAGACTACAAAAGCTTGTAGTGTCCGCTTTTTAGACTACAAATGTTTGTAGTGTCCGCTTTTTTAGACTACAAATGTTTGTAGTGTCCGCTTTTTCATTAGAAAAGTTTATGAGTCAGCCCATCATTCTATAACCCTCAAAGACCTGATATCAAAGTTGACTATGTTTGGGACAGGCCAGTAGTTATCAATGTGAAAGCAGACAGCGTGAAAGCCAACTTGGGCATGATGTGAAAAACTGATGATGTGGCAATAGCAATCCTTCAGCCATATCCCCACATAAACTTATAATTATGTTTTGGGATAGGACAGTAGGTATCAATATGAAAGGCTTTAGAATAGCCTTTCCTAATGTGAAAGACAACTTGTGCATGATGTCAAAAACTAATGCTGAAGGACTGGCAATATGTAAGATCATGTCAATCCTTCAACCTCATCCCCATAACCCAGACAAGCCAAGGACACCATAACCTACATGCTAACTACAAACTTTTTTAGTCTAAAAAGCAGACACTACAAACTTTTCTAATGAAAAAGCGGACACTACAAACTTTTCTAATGAAAAAGCGGACACTACAAACATTTGTAGTCTAAAAAGCGGACACTACAAACATTTGTAGTCTAGAAAAGCGGACACTACAAACATTTGTAGTCTAAAAAGCGGACACTACAAGCTTTTGTAGTCTTAAAAAGCAGACACTACAAACTTTTCTAATGAAAAAGCGGACACTACAAGCTTTTGTAGTCTAAAAGAGTGGACAGGACACCCTTTTCTAATGGCTGCCATGGTCTCTTTTGCATATGATTCCTCAAACTAGACATGGAATAGGGTCCCTGCAATGTATGGGATGGATGGGCTAGGTTGACTTTGGATAACCTGTTAGCCCTAACCCTAATTTTGTAGTCTAAGTCCAACTTTTGTAGTCTTTTGTAGTCTGTCAGTAAAATTTATAGTCTATGTCTGACTTTTGTAGTCTTTTGTAGTCTATCAGTAAACTTTGTAGTCTGAGTCCGACTTTTTTGTAGTCTATCAGTAAACTTGGTAGTCTATATCTGACAATTCCTTTTCTAGGGCATGCACCTTCCTTTTTTGGTCATTTTTCCCACAATACAATAATTGTAGCTCTTTCTTTTAGATTTCTAAATATACTGAAATCATATTGTTTGGTTTTGTTTTCATAGAGAAAAATGCAAAAAACAAAAAAAAACATGACACTTTTGGGATTCCTTTACCTCATATCTCCACAATGGGAGCACTTCAAAACATAATTTAAACAGATTCAGGAAGCTACAGTGTAGGGCTACAACTTTTGTTTTTTGACCATTTTTGGTAATAACGCAGCGCGACAAGCCACATGGCCTGCTATGGTGCACTTGTAAAATATATCCGATAACTGTTCCTGGTTTATAGATAAACAAAATTTATGGGGCAGCGTTATGGTATCCAAACTGTTATTCCCTAGCGTATTCTTGTCATTGTGTCGGCTGTATGATGTCCACATTGTTGAAGAGTTCGACTCTTTAATAGAGTGAAGTTACTACCCATTTACGTGTCCTATAGTATGTAACAATATTGTCCTGTTGCTCGACTTATTTAATACATATTCTGAATTCAAATCTTGTCCAATAAAGATGTTAGGTACTTCACAGGCACTTCAAAGTCAGGTTTCATTGACATCTGCCATGATTTGGTCTTCATTGGCCAACTCATCTGTATCGGCCGTAGTATACCAGACATGGACGCTGACAAGGGGGTCATAGAGGCCTTCTCTTTGCCTTTGGTGGTTGGTCGTTGAATAGAGCTAGATGCCTTGTGTGCTGTAATTTTTTTTTGTGGCCTTCTGAGCAGCAGCGGGCTTTGTAGCGGGTTTAATAGTACTACCAATCGATTTGGCTGGGGGCGTGCTTTTCGCTTGTTTGGTTTGTGTTGCATTTCCACTATGTGTCAATGGGGGTGAATCACGTTGTGGCTTTGTGGCTTTTTGACTTTGAAGGTAGCCAATGTGCGGTCGGTGGCTGTTGTAGATGGCACTGGCGACTTCCTCCTCATTTGTGTATGGTAGTGTTGCCGCAGTTTGGTCAGGTCCGGTTACAGTCTAGTTTTGCCGGTTTAGGTAATGAATTGATGGCTAATCCAAATCAAACTGGGTAATGAGGTTCGGTTTCACCGTAACGCCGGTTCAAACCGGTAAACCATCAGTTTCAAGCCTAATATGGAAAGCAAGCTGTTATCTACTCTACAGTTGCCAGTAAAGACTTAATATACGCATTAACATCCTCCGGAACGGCATTCTCTCCATCTTGGATGAACTTAATGAACTCCAGGACATCTTCTCGAGATGTTCCCTGTGTGAAATCTAAGGATTGACCGGATTTTAGAGAAAACTTTAGCATCTGCAGCATTTCCATCAAGTCCTCGCCAATTCGGTTTCGACGATGGGTCATGGTCTCCTTTGCAGATGAAAACACTCTTTCACATGGAACAGCAGACCCTTGGATTGCTAGATAGTCCAAGGCTGCCAGGAAAAGAGTAGGATAACGAAGTTGATTTTCCTATATGTATCTCAATATGGCGATACCTAAAAAAGGAGGGAAAGCGAAAACACACCTGCCAATACATGAGATTGCTTGTTCCTGTTGACGAGTCATTGAGGTAACGATTGATTTCGTCATCCAGGGAACTGTTCCTGTGTGCATCGTGCCTTGACAAGCCCAAAATGTCGTCTGCTGTCCGGTGAGCCAATGAACCTCGAATTGAGCGGCCCCAGATGGCTCGCGATCAAAGAGGGGTATAATCAGTAGCACGCAATGCTGGCGCTGGTTCCGGTGGGTCGGTTGGTGTGATGGGTGCACCTGACTGGGGTGATGTAGCAGTGCACCTCTGGTAATAAGGAAGAAGCTAGACATAGCAGATATCTTTTAGTTTAATGGTAGCACTGCATTCAATTAATGACGCACTGTCTGCCGGATAAGATTTTTGACTTGACTGTGCCGAGAGCTTTCGATGTGACTAAGTTTCATCGATGGATTCAAAACTTTCAAAATTGGTGCGAGAGTTTAGTAGATCATCTGAGGTATAATAAGGAAGCTCAACTCACACATGGAGATCATGTATGCAGGGACGAGCTCAGCCCGATTGTGATATGCATCAAGCTTATCAATCCCGGCCTGAATAATATCAAAGTACGGCTCATCCATACTTTCCTGCAGCTCATTCCACACAGAAACCATCGTGTCAAAGGCCGGCAACACATTACATAAAGTAGGAGTCTTTTCTGCAGAAAGCTTTTGTTGAAACGCTTCTGGCACCTTTCAGCGTGTCAGAATAAAGCCAGATAAAAGCAGTTTTGCGGCTCACCATGAGAATTTCCCGTGCAGCTGCAAGTCCATCCCATTCTTCAGATGAGAGTTTAAACTTCTCCAAGTCCTGAAACTCTTCAGATGAGCAAATGTCGTCCAGAGGCTACAAAAATGTAAGAGAAATGATCAAGTGGTCAAAAGTGAATTAAATCACATACTTTTTCTAGATGCAATGCCCGTTCAATCATGTATAGAGTTGAGGACCAGCGAGTATCAACATCACATAAAAGCTGAAGATCAAGGTCATATTTTTCACAGATCTCTGAGAAGTGCTGGCGGCGGAGCGACAAAGCCCGCACCTATGATATTGTAATTAGGTCAATTTGGAGAGCTGACAAATAATACATACTGCCCGAACTAGTGCACGGAGAGTGCTGATTGGGTCGGTGTGATCGCCTGTAGTGGAGCCATAGTCAGATCTTGCCAGAGCGGCAATAACTGCTTTACAAGCAAGATTAACAGTGTGAGGAAAACATCTTAAATTGATCAGCTTGTTAAATATCCTTGTTATATTGACAATGATCTTACCAGATGCGATTTTTAGTGTGGTCAAATGGGATCCCACATGCATGAAGTTCACATTCAAGGGAAACCATGAAAGTGTCATTGTTGGACGCATTATCCAACGTCACCCAGCCAATCTACCATGACCCTGTTGTGATGCAAAACTTTCATATTCATATTAACAAGTGCTTACCACAGAAGCAATGGAAAGTCGGTTGATAATATAAAGAAAAGCTTGACAAAGATGTTCACCATCGTGACAGCCAGGAACACGGTGAAAGCCAATTAATTCAGCATGCAACTTAAGCTCATATTGTGGCCCTTCTGGAGTGTGTGTCACCTTCGTTTCAATCCAGTGAGCAGTGATGGCCATGAATGGTGATAGATTTGGATCTGTCCACATGTCAGTTGTTACTGAGATCTTGCCAAGTGCATCCTTCCAGAAGGGAAGAAAGATAAGCACAAAGTCAATTGTAAACAAGTATGGCGTACCTTGATCTCTTCTTCAAGGCCTTTTAAATGCTCATCCCAGATTTCCTTCACATGGTTTCGAATAGTGGTCCGATGAGGAATATCGGAATCCTTGAGATCTTGTCGAAGGAGCAAGAAGATTCGACGTAGGTGAGGACTTTCGATAACATTTAATGACTACCATAGAAAAAATCATCTAATACATATCACCAGAGTAACCGAAGTCGTACCTGGTCATCTGCAATAATAAACTGTGTAATGGCATCTACAAATGCCTCATATGAGTACTCACGGATGTCCTCCGGCCTCTCCTTCGACGACGTTGATTGAGAACTGCTTTGCCCTTTGCTGGTGCGATAACTCGCTACGGCGCGCTTGGAAATTTCAGCCGTAATCGGAATCTTGAACTGGTCACAACCATCAACCCACTGTCCAAGATGGAACTTCATAAGGTGGGCACGAAGCGAACTGGTTCCAGTCTCACGGCTGAAGCCAAAAACTTCATAAGTGGGATCAACGGAATGTTGGTGTCTATGGCACAAACCAGTCAACAGATTATTTGCGTCATAAAAAATTAGTGACTTACTCGCAAAAGGCGCAAACTTGTTTCTCGTTCTCAATCTTGAAGAAGGTACAGACATCGGGAGCACCTTTCTTTCTGTTGTTTCTAGCAGTACGGGTAGGCCCACTGGGGTTGGTGGTTGAGGACTGACTTGGAGAAGGATTTGCTGTACTATGCCTGCTGGCTCGTGGAGAACCACGGCTCCTCGGTGGGGGTGAACTGGAAATAGAGTGGCTTGGGCTTGGTTCAGCAAAAGATTCCTCGCTTGGAGATCTAGGTGGGTGTGGATGATGTAAGAAGCCTTCACCGGGAGGTAAGCCATCGGTGGATATGAACAGATTCGAGGGACTGTCAGGAGTTGGGACAGTAAAATCTGACTGAAAAGCATGAGCACACCAATGGTACACATAGAAAGGGGCGTTACCTTGGAGTGGCGTAGGAACTTCAGAAACGCCGACCGATTGCACTGCTTGAGGCTCACACTGATCAGTCAAAGTAGCTACAACAATAAGTGTTTGGTCAGTCCTGTTGCTTGAAAGACAGATTAGATGAAATGCACCTTGTTGGAATTGAAAACATATTTCGGCTGCTCCGTTCGGATGAATGTGTGTACCTGGCACGTCTGCTGAGCCTCCTCGACCGCGACTGTGCCAATTATTCTGTGAGTTGTTTGTGTTGTTAGAACGGGGTGGCATACTTCTGGGGCAACTTCGTGTCAAAAAGGGTTTTTATTAAGAATCTGTTTCCAATACAATGCGGAACACACGACATCTCAATCCCTTTCCTACAAACATTCTATTAATTTATTTGAAACAGAAAACAACCTCCATGGAAAGCAGCCTGCAGCGCGTTGGCATGTACTGATCACAGGGAAAATAGGAAAGAGAGGATGTATCGGGGATATGGAAGAGGGTACAAGAAATTGTTTCATGTTAACTGCGGCGAAACGACAAAGGTGTGTTGTTTCAATTCCAGCAGGCAGCGGAAATGACAGACAACTCACCTATGCCTGCCGTGAGCCATGCTCTATGTACCTAACATATCACACTTCTCCCTAATCGTCACATTGCTTGGCTGAAGAATGCGGAAAGTCATCCTTGGTTTCAAATGATAAGGGTGTGGTCTACAGGCATAGGAGAGTGTTGTGGCAGCGTGGCACTGGGCTGAGAAGGTCCAACCACTTGCCGACCTGGTGGCGGATAATTTTGAAAGGCGAGTGGGGAACGTGAGTGGTTGTTATGAGACAGGGGCGTTGGAGATCGAGATTGAGGCTGTTTGAAGGAGTGTTGATGTCCCCCGTTTTGTGGGTCGTCTGAAGTGGGGTGTTGCTGGGGGGGAGAGTGTTGCAGAAGTAGGCTGTGACGTTCGTGATGGGATAGGTAAGCGTAGTCATGATTGTGGGGAGTCTGGATGAAAGCGTACCTCAGCTTTGAGTTGTGGACCAATGCGATGACTTTGCCTGCATAGGAGGGACAAAATTGGGAAGGAATGCACGAGGCAGAGAGTTGCAGAAGGACCGACGGCGAAGAATATCATGAAAGAGGCGTAACTTTAGGGCCAGGCTTTTCGCAAGTTGCAGTATGGAGACTCCTTGGCGCTACAACGCTCGGCAAGGTCGCTGTGGGAGCAAAGTGGCATTGAGGAGGCCTCAACGCAAGGGTGTTATCTACGACGAGATCAACCGTGACGGCGCGACCCTCTGCTACCATCTACTTCTGAATTAGGACTCAAACTGTTGGCGTGACCAGTTCAAGCCGGCGAAAACCGGTTTTTCATGTAACTAAACCATATTAAGCGAGAAACCAGTGGTCCGGTTATAATGGTTTATTTTTGGTTTGGTTTATTGGTTCAACCGGAACCAAGCCAAACCACGGCAACACTAGTGTACGGCTTGTAGCGTGGTTCAGGCTCTGCGTCGGATTCATCGACAATCAGTATGCTGTGCATGTTCAACTGATACACCTAGAGCGACAGTTGGGTGTGTGTTATTTTCATTATAAAAATTCACTTACCCTGCACTCTCCGCCTGTGAAATTACCCTGATTATCTTTGATAGGCATAATGAATGTATGGATGGATATTGTGAAGATGACCAGGCCACCTTCCGTAAGAGCCTTGTACTCTTCCCATGGTAGGATCATGCATTTGTCTAAGGTGGTAATGTCATGTTGCACTAGTTGACTGTGTATGTGCCGAAATAAAGGACCACTATAGTTTGATAACACATTTGGAATTTTGGATCGTGTTGCCAACTTTGATCTCTCCTTGGATATCTTTGCTTGCGTTGGAGCTCGAACTTTTGATAGTCTCCCTGGCAGTCAAATCTGAATCCTCTGGACCAATGGCATCACGTGAATGTTTCATTATGCAGATAGCTGGGGGCAACATGCAGCATCCAAGCTCCAGCAAGATTGCATGTGACCATGTGAAAAAACGTGATGTCTCAGATCCACATGTTTTTTTCCCACCCTTTCGACCACCACAAGACCCACTACTGATGTAGCGGGAATTGGTCATGTGACCAACAACCCAACAACCCATTCCATGGACCCTGATAGGTAAAACCATTCTCCTCTTGGTTTTTTTCAGTTTTTGGTCAAATCAGGTGATATTTCCCTTTTAGGATGGACCCTGAGGTGGACCCTGAAGGCAGTGCCTGATGTTCTGTACACCATATATATATATATATATTCAATTTTTCTGCTAAAAATGAAATATTCATTGAAAGCGCCAGGTACACATATGAAAAGTGCAATGAAATCTCCTAGGAACAAGAATGAAATATCCATTGAAAGCACCAGGCATTCAGATGAAAAGCACAATGAAATATCCAATGAAAGTGCCAGGTATCTATATGAAAATTCCAATGAAATATCCTGGGGTTGAGAATAAAATATATATTGAAAGCACCAGGTATCTATATGAAAATTGCAATGAGATATCCAGAGATAATGAATGAAATATATATTGAAAGTGCCAGGCTTTCATATGAAAATCGCAATGAAATATCCTGGGGTTGAGAATGAAATATATATTGAAAGCACCAGGCTTTCATATGAAAAGCTAAATGTGATATCCAGAGATAATGAATGAAATATTGCAGGAAATCGCAATACAGTATTAATGAGATCACCTAGGCCATTTAATGAAAAAACAAAATGAAATAGACAGGGAACTTAATGAATGAAAATACTCGGCAAAATAATGAGCTGTCTCATTGAACCTCTAGACATTATACACATCGCCTTCCAGGCATGTGTCTGGTTTTTATCATAAGATTGTATACCACTAGTGCATAGACGGTGGTTTGGTGCTCGGGAACCAGGACAAAGGCTGCTTGTGGGGGGGGCTTGGAACTTCCCCCAGCCGCTGTCACCTTTGGCTTTGAACTTCCCCCAGCCTTGATTGCCTTCGCCTTTGAACTTCCCCTGGCCTTGGTTGCCTTCACCTTTCCCGCAACTTCGTTCACCTTGACCTTCGGCTTTCCCATGCCCTGTGGTTTGGAAGTTCCCCCTGCTGATTTGTTTTTGGATGGAGCTGCTGCCTCCATGGGAGGGGGATCAGAGATAAGGGTGTTGACTTTGAAGCAGCCTGTGCTCACATTACTGCAGCCACTCTTCTTTGCATGACAGGCATCGCATGCCTGCCCTCGAATGCCCATCTCCGCTGTGCACTGGTCTCCCCACCTGACACATTGATCACAGGGAGGATTGCAGTGGGGTACTGTGGGAGTGACTTTGGCACCCATTGCTGTGAAGTCGTAGTCGTCGTCCCCATTGTCCTGAGTTGGAGCATGTCCTGCAGTGCTTCCTCCACTTCCTCCACTTTGCATCCTCGCCTTCTTCCCCTGCGTGTTCATGGCCTCCTCTGGATTCTCCATCACCTCTTCTTCCTTTCGTTTCTGTCCCCAACTTCGACCCTTCTTCCCCAACTCCGAACTTCCCTCTCCCTTCATCTTCCCTGACTCTGAACTTCGCTCTGCTTTGACAACGTCGACAGTCGCTTTGGCCTTTCCCTTATCTCTAGATGGCTCAGGTGGCTCCCAGCTCATCAAGAGAGCATCGATCTCCTCCATCTCATCCTCCTGCTCTGGCTCTGGCTCATCCAGTACCTCCCATGCAAACTGCCTCGCATTGGTATCCACGATTTCCATGCAAACATGTTCCATGATTGCAGGCATATCAATGTCCTCTGAGCGTTGAAGGACATGTATGGCTCGTAGATACGTGACCTGAATGTTCATTTTATTTCTGATCAACCTGTGTGATTTCAATGCGACTTACAATAATTTTACACAAGGACTCCTCCTGACCATTCCTCTCATCCTCATCCGCTTTGGGGTACTTGGTGTGGTACCAATCCCAAAGAGCCTCAACCACCTTGATAATTTGGGGAACAATACTTGATGTGTTTGCTTGCGTCAGAAGCGGCTCCTTAAGCCATGCAGGGGGAATAACAAGGAAGGAACTGGTGGGTTTGCTCATTGAAGAAAATTTGGCAAGGAAGAACTGACGATGAGTTGGAGGTGGGAGATAAGAATGAGTGGACTTTGGTAGTTCAGCAAATCCAACCATCGCCGAATTCAGGTATTTGCAGTGTCACTTTGTAATGCTGTCACAATGTCTGAATTTGGATCTTCCTCTACCATTGTTGTCCACCATTGTTCTCAAACACAATGTCGTCCATTGATCCCTCCCACAAGTAACATTCTTTACCCAATGCCTGAAAACTAATCCGGATTTTCAATCGTAGTATTGTCTCCTCCATTGCCTATCCCACCTGAGCGGTCGTTGCACTACTTTGAGGCAACAAATGGTAAATTATTATTTGTTTCATTGAGTTTCATAGTTGAAGTCTCCCAGGCATTAGGAACATTGTGAAAAACTATGAGGGCATTCCTGTGGATGATACTCAGGTACATATGATTTCTGTATAAGGTGTCCACCCCCATTATGCTTTTGTTTTAGCGTAGCACGGTGGGTTCATCAAATCCCCCCGCACCATTCTTCGCAGCACAAACCTTGGATGGGGGTCCTACACCTCATCATTCGACCCATCCACCCCACCTCAGTCGGACCTTCTACAATTCGGTTGTCCTGGACCTTCCAAAGGTCACTCATCTGCTGAAATATGCTTGTATCACTTATAAAGTCCTGTACCACAAGTGGGAGGAAGCCCGTAGGTCACTCAATGTACTTCTGGAGTCTCGGGCACACACAGTAGATCAACTCCAGCAACTGGACATTATCATTCAAATGAGGAAAACAGCGCTGGAGCATCAGGGGAATATTTTGGGGGAAAGTCAATCTGTAGAGAAGATGGATGAAGCTCCAGATGTGGAACAGGTGGTCATTGATTTGACGGATGATATGGATCATTCACTGTAGACCATTTGTATCTCCTGTGTATATACAATTCTCAGCTGCATCTCTAAGTTTCAAGTTATGAAATGTTCATCTTTGACAGCCGCTTTTCTTTCTGTTCATGGACTGTACGCTTCAGGAGTTCCGCTAATTGTTCACAGGTGATCCCACAAGTCAGACCTTGTCGATGGCTTTGACATGCCGCCTTTCTTTCTGATAGTTGACTGTAAGCTTTGGGAATTCCGCTAATTGTTCACAAGTTTTCCCACAGGTCAGAGCTTGTCGATGGCTTTGATGGGCCACTTTTGTTTCTGATCATCGACTGTAAGCTTCAGGGATTCCACTCATTGTTCACAGGTCCTCCCACAAGTTAGACCAAATTAGACCTTGTTGATGGAGCTTTTGATCTTTTTTTCTCATGTCCTTCATGCGACTATATCTATATTTCGGGGGTTCCACTCATCGTTACTCTGTCTTTCTACTTGTTCAATTTTGACGATGCCACTTTTGCTGTACTTGTCTACACTTTGTATTGTTCAATGTGCATTTCGGGCTTTCTGGTAATCATTCACAGATCTTTCCAAAGGTTAGACCTTCACAATGGGGCTTTCGATTCATTTTCCCCATGTCCTTCTTATGTTACATCTATGCTTCAGGGGTTCTGCTCATCGATACTCCCGCATGTCCTTCATATTGTTGACTATGTATTCCAGGCTTTCCGCTAATAAGGTTACCTCTGCATTGCGGGGTTTGCGATAATGGTTAGGCGGTATTGCCTCACGTCCTTCATAATGTTACTCTTTGTTGCAGGACTTCTGCTAATGGTTTCATCGGAAAATCAAAGTTATACTAGGATTCACCCCACTTTGGTCCCATTGCATGCACATGGTTTAGCCCATCTATAACTCCATAGCTTATAAGGTCAATGTAAGGCTGCTGATATTCGTGGGCCTCACTTTCCTTCCATAGGTCCTGACATATGTTGGCTCCACCTACAGTCCCATGCCCTATACAGGCATTGGGCCCATTTGGGTAGCACTATGAGCCATAGGACAATTGCCAGTTTCTATTGTTATGGTATTATAGGGTTACCTGTGTCTACTTGTGGTAATTGATGCCATTGACACCTTGTACCAGCACATTGTCTTGGTTGCTTTTCAGGGGTTAAGAGAAGAAGAAAAGAATAATTTATCATCAGTTTTGGGTGCAATTGTTATTGCAAAAAACCCACTTCATGCAAGTGATATTGAACAGCTTCTAGGAGTTCAAAATGCACTGCAAATAGTGAGCCAACTGAACCCAGTACTGTTAATTAGCAATACTGGCCATTTGCATATCTGCCATCAATCATTCACAGATTTCCTGCTTGACCAAAAGCGGTCTAAGGCTTTTTGGGTCGATTCTCAAAAGCATAGTCTCTGTTTTGCTGGATCTTGCATGAGATATCTAAGTGCAAGGCTCAGATTCAACTTTTTTGATCTGCAAACATCACATATACTAAATAAGGATATTCCAAATCTGATGGACCACATTAAAAATGTGAAATCTACTGCTCTAGATCATGCAAGCTACTTCTGGGCAACCTATCTGCAAAAGTGTCCTGATGAGGTATTACAAGAGGAGATAATGGTGCAGATGAAGTATTTTCTGATCACTCATCTTTTACATTGGCTAGAAATTATGAGCCTGATGGGCACTGTAAATCATGCTGCCCACTTACTGTTGTTAGCTGGAAATTGGTACAGTGTAAGCATTTTACATAAATAGACCATTATGATACTGATATGAATGACTCAAATGTAGATATTCAAGCCTAGTATGTCAGAGTTTGCAAGTGATCCAAACCAATTTATAATGACATTCTTTGAGCCAATCTCTGAAGCAGCACCACACATTTACATCTCAGCACTGCCATTTACACCACAGAATTCTAAGATATCTCTTCATTTCATGAAACATTCTGTAAAGACTTTGAGAATTGACAATGGTCAGATGAAACAGTGGCCAGATAGGTGCATTCTGAGAATAAAGAGTAGTAATGGTCCACTTGCATATTCACCTGATGGCAGGCATATTGTCTCTGGATCTTATAAAGGAGCTATTCATATCTGGGATGCTCTCTCAGGCCATAATGTCATGGATCTTGAAGGCCATCCTGACTATAGTGTTTTGGCAGTTGCATATTCTCCTGATGGGAAACACCTAATCTCTGATTCTGATGACAACACAATCATAGTCTGGGATGCTTCAACTGGCCAGAGTGTCATGGATCCTCTTGAAGGCCACAATGGTTGGGCTCTCTCAGTTGCATATTCTCCTGATGGGAAAGACATAATCTCTGGATCCAATGATAAGACAATCAGAGTGTGGGATGCTCTCACAGGCCAAAGTGTCATGGATCCCCTAAAAGGCCATGATAGAAGTATTGCTTCAATTGCATATTCTCCAAGTAGCAGGCATATTGTTTCAGGGTCCAATGATCACACAGTGAGAATCTGGGATGCTGGAACAGGTCAGTGTGTGATGGGTCCGCTCATTGGCCATAGTGATGCAGTTTAATGTGTTGCATATTCTCCTGATGGAATGAATATTGTTTCTGGACCTAATGATAAGACAATTAGAGTCTGGGATGCCTTATCTGGTCAGGGTGTAATGGTTCTTTTTAGAGGCTCTGATCCCATCTACACAGTAGCTTTTTCTCCTGATGGTAAGCACATTGTTTGTGCAGCTAAATACTACATAATTAGATTCTGGAATGCTCTGACAAGTCAGTGCATGATGAGTCCTCTTGCAGATGATGAGGGCTCAGTTTATTCTGTGGCTTTTTCACCTAATGGCAAGCATATTATTTCTAAATGTGGGAATATGATCAAAGTTTGGATGCTCTGACAAGTTGCACTGAGATAGATCATGTAAGAGGCCATGACAATGGAATAAGATCAGTTGCATTTTCTCCTAATGGCATACACATTGTCTCTGGGTCTAATGATGAAACACTCAGAGTTTGGGATGCTCTGACAGGTCTAAATGTCATGGGTCCACTTAGAGGTCATGACAAGATGGTTACATCAGTTACATTTTCTCCTGATGGCAGATACATTGCCTCTGGATCACATGATCACACTGTCAGAGTCTGGGATGCTTTAACAGGTCAGAGTGCCATGGATCCTCTCAAAGGCCATGATGAAGGAGTTATTTCTGTTGCATTTTCTCCTGATGGTACAGTCATCCACCCACTACTAATACACTGAAATTGAGAAATTAGCTTCAACAAATGTTAGCACAACCTTTCACCACAAAAACTACATGAAAATCTTAGATAAATGCCCTTCTATAACTCTACCAAATTTCAGAATGTTTGAACAGCATCTGAAGAAGAAAAACCAAAATTACAGGTGTATCATTGAGGGGTGTGACTGTGTTTCAGCCATTTTCGAAAATAGTCCATTTTGAAAACCCCACAGCATCGTCAATGCTGCCTCGATTGTCTCCAAAATTTGTACAGTGGTAGATATGAGCTTGTATTACTTGTTACAATTTATTTCATAAAAATTGGTGCAGAATTGAGTGACATATCAGCTAGTCAAAAGTGTATCAAATGGGGGTGGTGTATCATTAGGGGGTGGATGACTGTAGATACATTGCCTCTGGATCATGGGACAAGACAGTCAGAGTCTGGAATGCATTGACAGGGCAGGGTGTGTTGGATCCTTTCATAGGACACACTCATTGGATTCATTCAGTTTCATTTTCTCCAGATGGCAGATTCATCATCTCTGGGTCTGAAGACAGAACAATCAGAGCATGGGATGCCCTGACAGGTCAAAGTATAATGAATCCCCTTATAGGTCATAAGGGTGGTGTTAACTCTGTTGCCTTTTCTCCTGATAGAAGGTACATTGTGTCTGGATCTAATGATAGGACTGTCAGAGTGTGGGAATTTAATGCAGGACAGAGTATCATGGATCCTCTTAAAGGCCATGCATGGTGATGCAGTTAATTCAGTTGCATTCTCTCCTGATGGGAGGTACATTGTTTCTGGTTCTCATGACAACACAATTAGACTCTGGAATGCTGTAACAGGTCACAGTGTGGGAGATCCATTCCATGGCCATTATGAAGGTGTTATATCAGTTGTCTTTTCACCTGATGGACCGATGGTAGGCATATTGCTTCTGGATCTGCAGACAATACCATCAGACTCTGGGATGCTTATGGAGGCTGCATAGTCTTAAATCCCTCAGCTCCTTCAGTTACATTGTCATCCACATTCTTTCCATCTGGAGTTATAAATGTTGATACCCATGACAGTGTATCTCACATTTTCAAGAGTAAACCTGTTGTTTTTTATCCCTCTCAGGGACATAAATCTAATAATTGGATCATTGGAGAAGATTTCAAATCATATCTCTTCTGGGTGCCAACAAGCAATAAACATGGCTTATTTTTTCCAAGAACAGTCAATGTACTGGGCACCACTCCAACTATACTTGATTTTAGTAACTTTGTCCATGGTACAAATTGGAGTCAATGTTTTTCACCAGCCTTATAATAGCATTCAATGCAGTTCATGACCTATTTGAACAATCTTTTACCAGTTGGCAGAACATTCTTTGGCCCTTGGGGGACTCTTAAAATACCACATTTTTTCTTTTCTTTCGAGGTCTCTGGTTTTGAGTCCATTTTGTGTGTGTAAGCTAATTCTGTGTCTGCTTTACATAGTATATATGATGTACAGTAGCTATTCTCTTTCCTCTCACAAAAAAAAAAGATTATTCATATAGTGGCCCTATGGAAAAAGTCAGCCATAACCCTTTGGTATGTGCAAGTTTTAATCACTTCTGCTTTGATATAATCATGCTGGACAGTCCCAAGAATGCATGGACTGAGACAACTTCCCAAATATTCTACCTATTGTCTTACAAGTTATAAGAGAGCAGGATTGTTTGAGTATATTCATGTAGTAAGTATAGGCACTTGCAAGCCCTCCACAGTCCAAGTAAGTAGTCTCATTATTGATGAACACCATCAGTGAGAAATAAGATAAATCCTATCCCAAAGTGTGTCCTCAAATCCGACCCTTCAACTCCCCACCAACCGTCACAATCGTAGCACCCAAACACTAACCCAACTCTGTCCCTTGAATCTTCTTCCCAATCGCCACCTCTCTCGTATCCTCAAACTCATACCCAAGCCTCAACCGCGCATGCCTGACTGTCAAATCAAGGCAGCACTCTGGTCTCTCTGCAAGTTCAGCCATGAGTTCACAGTCGGCGCCCCGGTGGTTCCACAGCCATTCGTCGCGGCCTTTGCAGACTTGACGGGCGGTGCTGGCGATGGTGGATATGGTTATGGGGGAGGAAGAGGAGGGGGGGTGGGGAGGGGGGAGAGGCGGTTGTAAAAGTAGGAGAGGAGGAGGACTTTACCGTTGGGAAAGGAGGAGAGGAGGGAGGGTTGGTAGACGCCGTTGAAGGAGCATGGTTTGAGTTCACATATTCTATGTGTGTGTCTGTGTGTTAGTAGGGAGAAAAAAAAAGGAGAGGAAGAGAAGTGAACGTACGCATCCATTAATACAAGCTGTACCACCCGATCACATGCCTTGAATGACCCAATGTCTCCCCCATCCATCGTCACCTGCCTCTCCACCCGTCACTTCATCCTTAACAATCACAACCCTCGGTGTCCCCTTCGCAAGACACGGGTTCCCCACCACCGCCTTCGGTTTCGCACCCTGCAACATCAACATGAAATACACCAATCCATGAACGTGTTTCCGTGCACACATCAGCCCATACCCCAGGTACGAGTGTTGATAGAACACATGATTCCGGCCGCCGGATTGGAGATCGTACTTATGCTCCCCGTCCTCGAGCTGCATATCCGACGACGCGAAGATAGGCTCGGATACGATTTGCGTAGAAGCGCCGCCGCGGTCGAGGACGGCGTAGGTGGGCCGCCCGTATCAGGCGGTGTGGAAGCTTTGATGGTCCCCAAGAGGTAATTCGCCGTTATCCACGCGTATACACCCTCGTCTTTTCCATCCATAATCACCACTCCATCTTTCTCCTGTAATTAAAAAGGATAGGATGAGCGTATCCTCCCTTCCACCGCCTCTAAAATATCAGTGCTTTGTGAACCGGGTAACAAACGAAGTCCAGCGGTAGCTTTAACGGCTACAGTTGTACACCCGTGCATGGCCTTTGGCACGACGCGGACAGCCTCGTCCAAGAGGACGTCCAAGCTCCGCGCAGCCCCTTCAGGGTTTCCAGCGAATGAAGATAAACCAGGTTGTGTCATTTTGAATACTTCGTATTAGTATTCGGGAGAAGGGCCGCAGTTGTTGAATTTGTAGACGTGGATTCTGGAGCCGGTTGAGCCTGCGTCGCACGAGAGTGCCGGAAGAGGAGGAGTGGGGGTGGGTACAGTGCGTCGTTAACGAGGGCTCTGGACCAGAGTCTGGGTGCGCGATGGGTGGTTTTGTAGCAGGGACGGATGGTGTTGTTGTTGGGTTTGTTGGTGGTATGTTTTGGAAGGGGAATACGCTGTGCTCTTTTCGTAACCTTTTCCCGTCGTCTTTTCGTCAGTTTTCTAGAAGGGAGGACGGTGAAGCTTAGAATTCACCTCTAAATCAGCGTCCCCAATCCCCCGCCACGAGAATGCATGCGCCCTCGACCCGCAAAGCCACATCACCCCAACGAGGAGCGCAGCGCCCAAAGCGAACTTTTTCCAAGTCAACCTGTTCCTTCCATCAGCTCTACTCGGCGGCCCATTGCGCCTTCTAGTCAGTTGTAGTTGCCGCTCCCAGGAAACAGGATTGTCATGAGGTATCTTGAGCGGGGGGTAAGGTTGTTGTTGGCATTATTGACAGCTGTGGCACGAAGGAATGCGGTAGTGGAGACTTTAGGATTGACCGAGTTTCTAGTTGTAGTCTTTTCCCTGTTCAGCATACGATGAAGTGGAGCCGCGAGGAGAGCCCACCTCCTCAGGAATGGGAAGCGGGGAAAAGAAACGTGGCTTTCGAGTTGTTGGGGAGTCACAAAAACTAAGACTGGATTGCGGAAGAGCGTATACAATTAGTACCGTTTGAAAGCAGAACCAGCTGTAGGGATTCATGAGAAGCCATGACCAACATGAGAGGAGACGTAAACTTACTGGAGTTTGAACCTCGCATTTTCGATTTACCCTACATACCAGCCAGTTCCCCAACGATGCTATACGAGCCGATGAAGCTTCAGGACTTGGGAAATCAGCTGGAGCAAGCTGTTTTAGGGACGCGATCCCCAAGCTGGAAGTCGGCGGATAGACTGACTCCCACTTAGTACTTAGAAGTGGCATATCTGCGCATCATGATCAGAATCTGAAGGCAATCTGAAGGCGAGCTTAGAGCAAGAAAGCAAACACACCTCTAAGTTCTTCAGCCCAGAGAAAGCAACGTTCGTCCTTGGATCGCCAGCCTACAAAACGAAAGAGAGAGCAAACGAGCATTACTTCGTCATTGTTCTCCAAATAGAAGGATCGAGCAAGGATGGCCGTCGGTCTTATTACAACGCGATGTCAACGTCATGGGCGATGATCAAGTTGTTGATCAAATTCAAACAAACATCTCGCGAACATCTCTTCGCATTTCAACTATGTACTGTTACTACATAACTACCGTCCTATTACCTCCAACTACAACTATAATTTTACATTCCGAGGTATTTGTCTTCCCAAGCAACTTCTATGCCATCGCCGAAACAGGTCAGCTTGCCGCAGAGTTTATCTCCCGAGCTCCTTCCATTGCACAATCTTTGGATATATGCGGGGATCGAGAATGATGTTGAAAATTCGTCCATCCGACAAGAAAAGCAGGTAGTGTGGGCTTTCCGTCCAAGCCTGATGTGTCTTTCGGCAAGTGAAAGGAGGTCACGGCCGAGGAGACGTGAATGAAACGGAGTAGGATTTGCATAAATGACGAGAGGGGGTTAAGGTGACGTTAAGGCGATGTTAGAGGGAGTTGGGAGTTTCAGTCGGTCGAAGAAGTGACGCGGAGAACACCAAAGAATCTCAAGGGTATAAGAAACTCCGGAAGTTGTTTCAACTAACCTGTCGAAGCGGATCGACACCCTGAAGCACAAGCGAGAGACCCACAACCACGTCAGAGAAACGGTAAGTCTTCCTCAATGGTACGGAAGGCAACTTGGTGAGGCTTGCAGGAGAAATGCGATGGGTAATCTTCAGTCTTGTGACATCAGTTCAAGAGCCAGCTGTTGGTCGATTCGTTAGCGACAAGATCAGCATGAGAAAGACGCGTAACATTACCGGAAACTCCACGGATGCTCGGGCGAGCTAATCTCTAACCAGTTCTCCGGTGATGCTGCACATTTCGCGTCGAGGAATCTGGGCTCAGTGAGTCTTCACATGCGGTGGAAATTCAGGTTCATTTCGTGACTCGAACATAATGCGATGTCTGACAGGAACCCGCCCTGTCTGGAGAAGTCGGACCCCTGCGCATGTGCAGTCGGGACGACATGCATACTCGACCAATCGAATTGATGAGACTGAGATATAGAGAACAATTGGTTCAGCAACTCTCAACCCAACTCGAAAGCCAACGAAATCCCACCGTCAGGCCTGAACGCGAAGAGAGAGGTCCGGTGTATAGACGGCAGTCCCAGGGGAGTATGATGAAGCACGACGATGATTCCGCAGCAGAAAAGCAGGTCCCAGTGGCCGTCCCATCCTTCAAAACAGCAATGAATCCAAGTTGAAGGAGGAATGAATCTAAAGGCTGGATCCTCACGCCAGAGAGAGCTCCGAGGGTGAGAAGTCTCTAGATGGCGGTCCTATTGAATTGGGGGTATGTGGGATGCTGCAGGTTTCATCCGAGGTGTGGATGGCAAGATGGAAGATGATGGCGATGGGTTTCTATTGTCGTTGACGCTGCTTCATCCGAAATAATGGAGCAACCTGTACTTTGGGTCCTTGTAGTTGCCGCTTAGACACACGGCAAACAACTGGCAGAAGGCGATGTTGGTGAGGAGTGGACGCAGAGGGTTGGTGCGTTCCGGGGTGATGAGCGAGGGCTTTGAGGTGTGTTGAGGCGGAGGTAGTGGGTGAGGAGGAGTAGCTCGCGTATAGAACGTTTTTGGGAAGCTGTTCCAGCATGTATCCAGGACAAAGTTGTGAAAGGGGATCGACACCCCAAACGTATGCGCGGAAACGGCAGAAGCAGACTGGGGCTTGCCGAGAATGCGATAGATCCTCTTGAGACATAATACAAGAGCTAGCTGTAGGTCGATTCGTTAATCACAAGATGAGCATGAGAAGGAGGCGCATACTCACTATAAACTCCATGTACCTTCCAATGAGCTGATCTCCAGCCACTCTACGTCAAACATGCTTCACGTTGGCCATTGTACGTCTTTTTGTTTCCAAAACGTGAGGTCGTCCACGTCCAGCCTAGAAAGTAATCGGACTGGCGGGTGGGTCGCCTGGTCAAAGAACATGTGAGTCGTCTGCCGTTCGGTCGATGATGACGGGGGTTGGGCGTCTTGTGGGAGGTGGTCAAAAACTGTGGCGATTGGCGCTGAATAAAGGTCGCCAAACCCGGGTGGTTGGAGCGCCGATTGGTCTGTGGCTGCTGGGTGGTCGACGACCGTAGCTTCGCAAGTGGAAGATGGTGAGTGTTCGACAGAGGACAGTGGTGGCTCCTCCTCTTGCACAACGGGGGCGATGTACAGGGATGGTTGGCTGTCGTGGATTTGTGGTACATCGTCCGAGCCGAATCGCCAAGGCTTTCTCTAGGCAATTATCCAACACTGCAGCAATGCCACGGCATCAAATGGCGAACACGAGTTGAGACGACCTGAGGTAACGTCGAACATTCTGCTTCGGACATGTAGGGCTGGAAGGAATAGCCAAGCCCAAGTGATTGTATTGCGGGTGAAAGATGGCGGCTGCTCGGCGATTTCGTCGCTTCAGAAAGCTGTACATATGTTTGGATCCGTGAGGTGAAACTGCACGGTATTAGCGGCCATATTTGGAGGACCAACTGAACCGCCACGTAGCAGCATGGTGCAGAGCTTCAGAGAATTGACATCAGAAGGCGAAACTAACGGCATGGATGGCAAACGCGCCTCACAGTTATCCAAGCCAGCTTCAGCTATCAAATGGCCACAGGCGAACTCGGAAAGGCAAACGGAGCACCAAATCATCGTCCTGTGAGGTCTTGAGGATGTGAAGTCATCGAGGGGGATATTTGGTGGTCCTGTAGTCCGCGCGACGTGTTGGATGTGTCTTGGTCGACGTCAAGGCATGATGATGGTCAAGAACAAGCATGACTATCCCACGACGCGCTGATCACTGGCGCGACCCTCACGTCTCTTCTGAGACTCCCTTGAATCTTTGCTGATTTGATTTTCTAGGACGTCCGCTTTTTCTGCGCTACGTGATTGACCTTCGTCTGGTGCTTCATCTCATCTCTGGGAGAGGAGTCAGGAGTCGTTTCTAGGCGACTCATACCAACATACGATCCAGTAACGTATTTTTGCTCTGTATCAATGTATCGATCTCTTCGTTAGTCCTCAGATGCGAGCGTTGACCAGCACGCACACTTACCCAACACTTCCTCGCCCCAATGCTGTGCACCTCCATGACCTGTTCACGACCTTCCTGTCTACGCTCAATCTTCGAATACGGCTTTAACTTCGTTGGGGCCTGCCGCCCACTTCTGCCGCACTTCCGTCTCATGAAAACCCACGCATTGACACAAGAAGGGTAAAGAGTTCTTTGCCACTCTATAATCAGGTCCTTTGAGATATCGAAAACCGTGCACTATGTTTTGACTCATGATTAGACGGGAAGTTTCAGAGGGACTGTATCTCCTCAGTATGTTGGCCATCCTTTGATGACATCTACGGATAATTTCCTATTTTTGACGGACTTTCTCTACAAAAATTGCAATCCGTATAGCTTAGGCATCCAAAGGACGAAGGTGGGCCAATGGCGGAGAATGATCACCTCCAACCGCGCAACTGCAAAGAACTTTATCCACCCAGCCTCAAACGCCACTCAACGAACGTGTAGCTTCGCAAGACACGGATTCCCCACCACCGCCTTCGGCTTCGAACCCTGCGACGTCGACATGAAATCCACCAATCTATGAACGTGTCTCCTTGCACGCATCAAGCCATACCCCAAATACGAGTGTTGGTACAGCACATGGCTCCGGCCACCGAACCGAAGATCGTACTTATGCTCCCTCTCCTCCAGCTGCATATCCGAGGACGCAAAGACAGGCTCGAACACGATTTGCGTAGACGCACCGCCGAGGTCGAGGACGGCGTACGTCGGCGTATCAGGGGGCGAGGAAGCCTTGATGGTCCCGGTTGAGCCTGCGTCGATCATTTGCACGAGAGTGCCGGAAGAGGAGGAGTGGGGGGTGGGTACAGTGCGTCGTTGACGAGGGCTCTGGACCAGAGTCTGGGTGCGTGATGGGTGGTTTTGTAGGAGGGACGGATGGATGTTGTTGTTGTTGCGTGTGTTGGTGGTGCGTTTTGGAAGGAGAAGGCGCTGTGTCCGTTTGGTATCCTTTTTCCGTAGTCTTTTCGTCAGTTTCTAGAAGGAAAGACATTGGAACTCACCTTCCGCGTATAAATCAGCGTTCCCGTTCCCTCGCCACAAGAACGTATGCGTCCTGGGCATAAAAAGCCACACCGCTCCAACGAGGAGCGCAGGGCCCCAAAGGAACGTCTTCCACGTCAACCTCTTCGTTCCATCAACTCTACTCGGCCCATGGCGCCTTCTAGTCAGTTGTAGTTGCTGCTCCCGGGAGACAGGATTGCCATGAGGTATCTTGAGCGGGGGGTAAGGTTGTTGGTGGGACTATTGAAAGCTGTGGCGCGAACGAATCCGGTATGGGATTGACTGAGGTTTTAGTTGTTGTCTTTTCGCTGGCCAGCACACGGTGGAGTAAATGCGCGAGAAGAGGCCACATCCTAAGGAATGGGAGTGGGGAAAAGGAACATGGGTTTTGGGTTGTTGGGGAGTTCCGAGTCACAGAAACTAGGATTGGATTGCGAAAGAGCGTATAGTAGCGTTTGAAAGCAGAATCAACTGTAGGGATTCATGAGAAGCCATGACCAACATGAGGAGACGTAAACTTACTGGAGTTTGAACCTCGCATTTTCGATTTATCCTACATTCCAGCCAGTTCCCCAACGATGCTATACGAGCCGATGAAGAGGATTTGGGATATCTAGCTGAAGCAAGGCGTCCAAGGGACGCGATTCCCAAGCTGGAGGTCGTGGCGGATAGACTGACTACCACTGAGTAGCGCAGTGCATATCTGAGGGTGAGCCTGGAGCAAGAAAGCAAACACACCTCTAAGTTCTCCAGCCCAGAGAAAGCAGCGCTCGCCCTCGGATCGCCAGCCTACAAAACGAAAGAGAGCGCAAACAAGCATTACTTCGTCATTGTTCTCCGAATAGAAGGATCCAGCAAAGATGGCTGTCGGTCTTATTACAACGCGAAGTCAACGTCATGCCAGTGGACAAGTGGATCAAATTCAAACAAACATCTCGCGAACGTCTCTTCGCATTCCAACAGTTTTGCTTACTGTGCCTACATAACTACCGTCCTATTACCTCCAACTACAACTCCTACTTTTACAGTCCGAGGTATTTGTCTCCCTAGCCAACTTCTACGCCATCGCCGAAACAGTATGGCTTGCAACGGAGAGGGATCTGGGTAGATGACGAGGTTAAGGTGACGTTAGAGGGAGTTGGGAGTTTTAGGAGGTGACGTGGAGGACACCAAACAGTCTCCGATTTGGAATTTCCGCGCGTCCGCCAGGACGACACTTGCCCTGTTTACCCAATCTCCATAAGATGTTTCGACCAACCTGTCGAAACGGATCGACACCCTGAACCACAAGCGAGAGGCCCACAACCACCTCGGAGGAAATCCGGTGACTCTTCCCCAATGGTACGAAAGGCGACTTGGTGAGGCTTGCAGAAGAAATGCGATGGGTATTCTTCAGTCTTGATACATTAGGTCAAGAGCCAGCTGTTGGTCGATTCGTTAGCGACAAGATCAGCATCAGAAAGAGGCGTAAATTTACCGGAAACTCCACGGACGCTCGAGCGAGCTGATCTCCAGCCAGTTCCCCGGAGATGCTGCACATTCCGCGTGGAGGATCTAGGCTCAGTGGGTTTTCACAGATGGCGCCAGGCGGACAATCTAAGCCGATGTCATGAGACGCATGACTCGAACATAAGGCGCCGTTTGACAGGACCCCGCCCTGTCCGGAGAAGTTGGACCCCTGCGCATGTGCACCCTGCACAAGAGAATTTGGAGATGGGTTTCACCAAGACGCCATGCATGTTCGACGATATTGGACCGGTCGCTCATGATCTAGGACCAATCTAACTGATGAGGCTGAGATATAGGGAACAAAGTTACTGAACCCGTCCTCCAGCAACTTTCAACCCAACTCGAAAGCCAACGAAGGCCCACCGCCAGGACTGAATGTGAAGAGATGGCTCCAGCGTATAGACGGCAATCCCAGTGAGTTATGATGAAGCACGACGATGATTCCACAGCAGAAAAGCAGGTCCCAGTAGCCATCCCATCCTTCAAAACAACAATGAATCCAAGTTGAAGGAGGAACGAATCTAAAGGCTGGATCCTCACGCCAGAGAGCTCCGAGGGTGAGAAGTCTCTAGATGGCGGTCCTATTGAATTGGGGGTATGTGGGATGCTGCAGGTTTCATCCGAGGTGTGGATGGCAAGATGGAAGATGATGGCGATGGGTTTCTATTGTCGTTGACACTTCTTCATCCGAAAGAATGGAGCAACCTGTACTTTGGGTCCTTGTAGTTGCCGCTTAGACACACGGCAAACAACTGGCAGAACGCGATGTTGGTGAGGAGTGGACGCAGAGGGTTGGGACGTTCCGGGGTGATGAGCGGAGGTTCTGAGGGTGTGTTGATAGTGGGTGGGGTGGAGGATCGCGTATAGGAATGAAGTTTTTGGGAAGCTGTTCGGGATCGACACCCCGAAACGTATGCGCGGAAATGGCAGGAGACGACAACAGCGGAGGAAACCCAGAGGGTACCCCCCAAGAAGCCGACTGGGGCCTGCAGAGAATGCGACAGATGCTCTTCGGATATAATACAAGAGCCAGCTGTCGGTCGATTCATTAACCACCAGACTAACATGAAAAGGAGGTGCATACTCACTGGAACCTCCATGTAATGGGCTAATTTCCAGCCACTCTCCGCAAGCCGTTGACGTTCCGCGTAAAAGGAACTGGGTTCAACGAGCCGAACACCTTCAAAGATCGCGGATGCTTTGGGTTGTTTTCAAGGCAACCTAACGACGATGGAAGGGTGTTCCAAAGGTGACGTTCGCCTGGCCTGGCGAAGATTTTGAAAGCATGATTGAGAGAGAAGAACAGACTGCTGGGAAAAGTGGGTGAGTTGAGCTCGTCGAAGTCAGAAGGAGGGCGCAAAAGAGGGGGGGAAGGGAAGAAGGAAGAGTACAAGTGAATTAAAGAAATGGGAGGGCAAATCCAGGTAAAGGAATCGCAAACGAAAGTGAAAGTGCAGTAGGACGACGGGGTTAGTCGAAGACGAAAGCGTAAGAAACGCGGAGAAGGGACCAAAACTGAGATCGAGGAGGTCGAAAACGAAAAGGACACCCACCTGCGCGAAATCTGAAAGCGCATAGAGTCGATCTTGAGCTTAAGCATCGGAATCCAAAGTTAGGCCGACTGGATAAGGATGTCGAACAAGCGTGACGTTGGCCATTGTGCATCTTCCGCTTCCGAAATCGAGATCGTTGCAGAAGCCCACTCCCAGTCGGCAATCCACTCGACCCACCAGCACTCCCCTCAACGTTATCCTACTTCCTCAACACCACGAAATAAACAGCAAGAACCCGATGGTAAAGATCGCACGCAAGACGCCTAGCAGAACTTGGGTCCGCTGTTTACTCGCTTTCATTTGAAATTTGGGCAGGGTCAGTTCTTCGGCTGGTGAGTCACCCAAAACCTCCTTATCCTCAGGCTCCACCCCCGCCACGCTACCTGCAGCCAACGCAAGTGGTTGTTCCTCATTCGAGGTAGTATTATTCGTCGCACCCAGGGCTTTTGAAGAGTACGCAGTAAGAGACGAGCGCTCTGAAAGGAAGGCGGTGTAGAGCCTGGAAAGCAATCGGACCGGCGGAAGGGGGTAAGTCGCCTGATCGAGGAACATATGAGTTGTCTGCGGTTCGGTCAACGATGCGCCTTGTGGGAGGTGGCGAAAAGTTGTGATGATTGGCGCTGAAAGAAGGTCGATGAACCCGGGTGGTAGGAGCGCCGGCTGGTCTGTGGCTGATGGGTGGTGTTGGCCTCGCAAGTGGATGGTAGTGATGAGTGTTCGACAGGAGAGTGGTGGGTCCTCTGCTTGCACAACGGGGACGATGTACAAGGATGGTTACGTCGCAAATCTGTGGCATGTCGTCCTCCCGATCGCCAAGGCCTCCCCGAAAACACGGCAGGAATGGCACGGCATCAAATGGCGAACACGAGTTGGGGAGACGTGAGGTAACGTCGAACAATCTGCTTCGGATATGCAGGGCTGGAAGGAATATAAAAGCCCAGGTGTATGGAGCGGGGTATTGCGGGTGAAAGATGGCAGCACTGCTGTGGGGTTTCGTAGCTTTCGGGTGAGGTGATCCTGCACATTGTAATGGCCATACTTGGAGGCCCAACTAACCGCCACGTAGCAGCACGTTGCGGGGCTTCAAAGAACTAACATCAGAAGGCGAAACTAGGGGCAGGGATGGCAAACGCACCTCAGTTATCCCCCAGCTTCAGCTATCAAATCTCCTCAGGCGAACCCGGAAAGGCGAAAGGATCGCCAAATCATCGTACTGTGAGGTCTTGAGGGGGCGGAGCCAATGAAAGCGATAGCTGGCGGCCCTGTAGACCGCGCGACGTGTTGTATGTGTTGGTCGAGGACGAGCCCATGATGATGGTCAAGATCAAACCTGGATCAAATTTGTAAACATGACAGCCTCACACGTCGGATGTTCTTTCGTTCGTTGCGAAAAAGGCTCGCTTTGGAATTTGTGCTCATTATGAGCTGCTGCTCTAGGATGTCGGCTTTTCTGGCCTACGCGATGGCCCTTTTGTCTGGTGCACTAGGTATTTTTGCGAGGGTCAGGAGTCGTTTCTACGGCGGCTCATACCAATATACGATCCAGTAATGTATTTTTTGTCCCTCTGCCAATTGAACTCTTATCAATCCTTTCGTTCGTCGTCAGATTTCAGTGTTGTCCCTATAAAATGAAGCCCAGAACGCATGACTTCCTCGCCCCAACGCCATATTCGTAAAGGACTTCTACCACCCGTGACGACTTCCCTGTCTACGCACGACCTTCAAATACGTATTCTATAAGGCTTCAATTTCGTTGGAGCTCAGCCGCCCACTTCTGCTGCACTTCCGTCTCTTAAAAACCCAGGGATTGGCATAAGAACGGTAAAGTGTTCTTTGCTGTTCGCTATCCGTTCTGCTCATTATTATGACACCTAAGATTAGGTCCTTTGAGATATCGCAAACCGTGCATCATGCTCTTACTCATGATCGACGGGAAGTTGGAGGGGGACTCGTCATCATGCTGGTGGCGATCATTTGATGACATCTACAAATTCCCGATGTTTTCACGGCCTCTCTCTACATAAAATGCAATCCGGATAACCTAGGCATTGAAAGGACGAAGGTGGGCGGTACGAGGTAACATCCGAGCGCCATGGCGGAGAATGATGACCTCCAACCACGCAACGGTACTGTCAACTTCAAACCCCATTCAACAAACCTCAAGGTGTAGCAGGTGCAGCGGATGATTGTGGATGACCGTTGAACCCCTGCTATCAAGTGAGTACTCCGCCTTTTATCATTCCAAGATGTTGTAGACGTATTGCTGAATCGGGCGTCAACGTAAAGATGTCACGGCGCGAGTTTGGTGTTTCTTCATTCAATCCTGAGCTCTCGCTGATGCTCTTTTCGGCCAACTTTGTTTGAGACTGGAACCCGCCTGGCGGCGTGATGTTGCCGACCGATGGCAGGATCACTTCGTCATTCATTGCCAGAGGTTGATGGCTGAACCGTGAACGAGCCAAACGTCGTCAGAAATTGTTGATGGCTTCCGGCGAATATAGACTCCATGGAGGCTCGCCGTAGGGAGGTTGCGGTGTGGCCGGCCTGAGTATACTAGACTGAGCACGGTGACCGCCATTGCAATCATCAATTCTTTTGAAACTCACATCGTTAATATTACGAGATACATAAAGCATGTTGCTCGGTGGAGTTTCGTGCAGCAGAAAGTCGAAGCGGTTGTACTTTGCGTCTCAGTTGTTCTTCATCCCGATTGCGAAACAGAGTTGGTCGAGTGTAGAGTGTAAACGGCTCAAACGCCGCAGTGCTCCGGTAGGATTAAGTGAGGGTTTAGGTGATGAAGCAAGATCATGAGCGATCGATGAGCTCTCCTCCCAGGACCGCCCTCTATAAAATACCTTCGTCTATAATAGGTAACAAGTTGAACTTGAGAGAGAAGCGCTTCCGGCGCCTCTCGAGTGGGCTCACATGATGACCTGCCCTGATCATGAGGCAATGCAACCGCAACCGCATCTCGGCGCCTCTCGTCTTTCTCATCAACCACCATCACCATGAACGTGAACATCGCTAGCAGCACCAACAGCACCGACAATATGTTTGGATTGGATCCCGGAGCGGGCGACTTTCTGCGAGATTGCGGCAGAGGTGGTCTTCAGGCGCTCGAGATTGTCGCTATGTCTGAGAATGTTTTTTCGCCGAGTTTGAAGGCGGCTGTTACCGACACCTTGGCCATCGTTGATATCACGAAGGTTTGTAGTGCTGCTCGACACGATCTGCTGCATCTATCTAATGGTTAGAAATAGAAATTTAATACCAATAAGAAAGCCTGGGCCGAGCTCTCGGAGAACCTCATCGCGCAGGTCGAGGAGATTATTCAGCGTACCTGTCATTATGGGAAGGATCACGTTCCGCGTGCTTGGCAATCAAGTCTTGAGCATCTTAATGGGTGCGTGATTTGACAGATCTCTTGCTGATACCATTTGAAACTGGGAAACTCATCAGAGTTTTGAACTATTTAAAAGAAAGAGTCGCAAATGTTCAACATTGCAGCCAGTCGAGGAGACTTCCCAGTTTTTTGGAGGATATGGCATACATTGAGGAGTTTAAAAGGAAGTTGAATGAAGCCATGGGTGCTTTCAATGTATGTAAATTGTTCCTATCACTTGGTTGACTCACTATTGCCCAAGGTTCAGACATCTCAGATAATTGAAGAAAATTCAAACAGACTTGTATGTCAAATTATCTACTTTTTTACTCCACCATAATTTTTTGAAACTTACACAGGGATTTATACCAGCACAGAGACTGAGGCTACAGTAGCCAAACAATCTAGTGAGCTGATTACCCTTCTAATCTTCTTTTTGATGATTCTACATATACCCCTTTCCCAGTGCATCAAGTAAATATTTTGGCAGGAGCACAGGATATTCAAATGGACAATGCTGTAATTATTGCTGCAAATACTGTGAGTGAAGATGTTCATATGGAGATTCATGCTAATGTGCATATGCAGGTCAACTACAATAATGATGGGGAAATTGCATGCAAAATCAATGAGAGGATGGAAGAATCAAAGGTAAGTTATGTCAACTAATTTCTTCACAACTGATATTGAATGTACTACTAGAAAAATGAATGGTTGAAAGAATTGAAGGCTCCATCACATAAGCAAAGGGAGACATGCATGCCTGGCACTTGTATAAATGTGCTCAGAGACATTGAGGCATGGCTTCATGATCTTAACATGCCAAATATTCTCTGGCTATCTGGAAGTCCTGGTTCTGGAAAGACAACAATTGCTTCAACTGTTGTTGCTGACTTTGAATCTTTCTCTGGGCAATTCTTCTTTCACCATGATCAGGCTGAGTTTTGTGATCCAGATAATCTGTGGAGGCATCTTGCTTTGGATCTTGCACTAGGAAACAATGCTCTAGGGAAATCTATCGCTAAGGCATTAGAGACTCAGAAAGCTAACATCAGAGGTCTTGATATTTCTATGCAATTTGAGCATCTCATTGTTAAACCAGTTCAAGAGCTGTTTCAAGATACTGCAACACCACTTCTTATTGTTATTGATGCTCTTGATGAATGTGACCAGTATGAGAAGCTTTTACCTTCATTGAAGTCCTGGTCCTTGCTGCTTCCCAAGTGTTTGAAACTTTTGATCACAAGTCGTCACTATCTTGATATTCAGAGAACACTGGATTCTGTTAGCCAGCATATCAATCTTCATACTGGGGATCAAGTTTCTAATCAGACCTCTCATGATCTTGAGCTTTACTTCACTATGAGATTCTTCGATATGACTAGATTGCAAACATCACTGCATTTGGACTGGCCTGGTCCGGATAAAATTTCTTTTCTTGTAAGGAAGGCTGCTGGCCTCTATATCTGGGCTAAATCTGCAATGGACTTTATTTTGCACAGAGGTGGTGACACTGAAGAAAGGTTGAATGTCATTTGCTCTAACTCTGGGGAAGGCATTGATGCTATTGACACCTTGTACCAGCACATTGTTTCTGTGGCTTTTCAGGGGTTAAGAGAAGCAGAAAAAAAATCCTTATCATCAGTTTTAGGAGCAATTGTCATTGCAAAGAACCCACTACGTGCAAGTGATCTTGAACAGCTTTTGGGAGTTCGAGGTGCATTGTCAATAGTTAGCCAACTCAGCCCAGTAATGTTAACCAGTGAGACTGGCCATTTGCATATCTGTCATCAGTCATTTACAGATTTTCTGCTTGACCAAAAGCGCTCTGAGGCTTTTTGGGTTGATTCTCAGAAGCAAAGTCTCTGTCTTGCTGAGTCTTGTCTTCAATTTATGAATGCAGAACTCAGGTTTAACTTCTTTGATCTTCAAACATCACATATTCTAAATAAAGACATTCCTGAGCTGCAGGATCATGTTGGAAATGTGAAATCTACTGCCCTAAATCATGCAAGCTACTTCTGGGCAATCTATCTGCAAAGGTATTCTGATAAGACTTTAGAAGAGGAGATAATGGTTCAGATGGAGAAATTTTTGATGAACCACCTTTTACATTGGCTAGAAATTATGAGTATAATGGGTGCTATAAATCATGCTGCTCAGTCATTGTTGTTGGCTGAAAATTGGTGCAGAGTAAGTCTCTTGAAAAATATGCTTCCTTGATACTGACATGAAAAAATCAAATGTAGGTACTAAAGCCTAGTATGTCAGAGTTTGCAAGTGATGCAAACCAATTTATAATGACATTCTTTGAGCCAATATCTGATGCAGCACCACATATTTACATCTCAGCACTGCCATTTGCACCACAACATTCTAAAATATCACTTCATTTCAGAAAATATTTTAGGAAGACTCTGACAATTGAGGATGGTCAGATGAAGCAGTGGCCAGACAGGTGCCTTATAAGAATAAAGACTAGTCATAGCTCACTTGCATATTCACCTGATGGCAGGTGCATTGTCTCTGGATATTTAGGAGCCATTCATGTCTGGGATGCTCTCACAGGCCATAATATCATGAATTTTCAAGACTATGCTCACTATGCAAGTTCAGTTGCATATTCTCCTGATGGGAAGTACATTGTCTCTGGATCTGCTTATGGGACACTCAGAGTGTGGGATGCTCTGAGTGGCCTGTGTATCATGAATCCTCTCAGAAAACATGATGGTTGTGTTACATCAGTTGCATTTTCTCCAGATGGTGTGCACATTGTCTCTGGATCTGCAGATAAGACAATCAGACTCTGGAATACTCTGACAGGTGAGGGTGCCATGGATCCTCTAAAAGACCATGGAGGTGGTGTTAATTCAGTTGCATATTCTCCAAGTGGCAGGCATATCATTTCAGGATCTGATGATTGTACAGTCAGGATCTGGGATGCAGGAACAAGTCAATGTGTGATGGATCCACTCATTGGCCATAATACAGGCATTCTTTCAGTTGCAGTTTCTCCTGATGGAAGGAACATTGTTTCTGGATCCTATGATTCTACAATCATGGTCTGGGATGCTCTATCTGGTCAGAGTCTAATGGTTCTTTTTAGAGGCTCTGATGCCATTGCAACAGTGGCTTTTTCTCCTGATGGCAAGCACATTCTGTGTGCAACATCAAACTACATAATTAGATTCTGGAATGCTTTGACAAGTCACTGCATGTTAAGTCCTCTTGAAGACGATGAGGGCTCAGTTTTTCCAGTGGCATTTTCACCCAATGGCAAGCATATTATTTCTGGATGTGGGGGCAATACAATCAAAGTTTGGGATGCTCTGGCAGGCCACACTGAGGTAGATCATGTAAGAGGCCATGATGAGAATATATTATCAGTTGCATTTTCGCCTAATGGCAAACATATTGTCTCTGGGTCAACTGATGCAACACTCAGAGTGTGGGATGCTCTTACAGGTCTAAGTGTCATTGGTCCACTTAGAGGTCATGATGAGGTGGTTACATCAGTTGCAGTTTCTCCTGATGGCAGATACATTGCTTCTGGATCTAATGATTGCACAGTCAGAGTCTGGGATGCTTTAACAGGTCAGAGTGTCATACATCCTCTGACAGGCCATGATTGTGCAATTATGTCAGTTGCATTTTCTCCTGATGGTAGATACATTGCATCTGGATCTTGGGATATGACAGTCAGAATCTGGAATGCACTGACAGGGCAGAGTGTGTTGGATCCTTTCATAGGTCACACTGATTGTATTCAGTCAGTTTCTTTTTCTCCAGATGGCAGATTCATCATCTCTGGGTCTGAAGACAGAACAATCAGAGCATGGGATGCCCTGACAGGTCAAAGTATAATGAATCCTCTTCAAGGTCATAAGCATGCTGTTCTGTCTGTTGCCTTTTCTCCTGATGGAAGGTATATTGTGTCTGGATCTCATGATAAAACTGTCAGAGTGTGGGATTTTCACACAGGTCAAAGTGTGATGACTCTTCTCATGGGGCATGATTTTCATGTCACTTCAGTTGCATTCTCTCCTGATGGGAGGTACATTGTTTCTGGTTCTAATGACAAAACAATTAGACTCTGGGATGCTGTAACTGGTCGCAGTTTGGGAGAGCCATTCAAAGGCCATTATAAAGGTGTTCGATCAGTTGTATTCTCCCCTGATGGTAGGCATATTGCTTCTGGCTCTTCAGACAATACTATCAGGCTCTGGGATGCTCATGCAGCCTGTATAGACTTAAATCACTTAGCTCCTTCAGTTGCATTGTCATCCACATTCTTGCCATCTGGAGTCAGAATCAATGTTAATGACACTGATACCCATCATGGTGTATCCCACATTTTCAAGAGAAAACCTGTTAGTTTTTATCCCTCTAAGGTACATACACATACAGTTAGCAATTGGATGATAGGAGAAGATTCCAAGTCATATATCTTCTGGGTTCCACCAAGAAATAAGCATGATTTACTCTTTCCAAGAACAGTCAAGGTACTGGGCACCACTCCGACTATACTTGATTTTAGTAACTTTGTCCATGGTACAAATTGGAGTCAATGTTATTCACCAGACTTATAATAGGATTCAATGCAGATGCTGGTTCATGGCTTATTTGAACAATCTTTCATGTGTTGGTAGAACATTCTTTGAGAGACTGTTGAGATGATTTTTTCTTTTTCTCTTTTCTTTTCATCATTAGGGGCAACAATATTCTCTGGTTTTGAGTCCCTTTTGTATATGGTTCCTAAGTTACTTCTATGTTTCAATGTAGTATCAATGATGTACAATACTACAAGCTCTCTCCCCCTCAAAAAAAAAAAAAAGAATGCACATATAATGACTTTATGCAAAGAGTGAGCCAAAACCCTTTGGTACGTACCAAGATGTAATCAATTCCACTTTGATGTAATCATTCAGGATGACTGACAGTACAAGTTTAACTTCCCAGGTATTCTACCTTTTGTCTTAGAGAGAGGGATTGTTTATATTCATTTTGTAAGTAAGTATAGGCACTTGATATCCATCCCTCCATAGTCCAAGTAACCTCATTATGTATAAACAGCATCAGCAATAAATAAGATAAATCCTATCCCTCAAATCCGACACTTCAGCTCCCCACTAACCATCACAATCACAGCACCCAAACACCACCCCAACTCCATCCCCCCAATCTTCTTCCCAATAGGAGGACTTTACCATTTGGGAAGGAGGAGAGGAAGGATGGTTGGTAGATGCCGTTGAAGGAGCATGGCTTGAGTTTGCATATTCTGTGTGTGCATGTGTATTACACCACAAAACGGTCAGAATGCAGGTGTGATACTTCAAGCAAAGGTAGAGAGTATGTTAGGTGATCGGATATATAAGCTATAGAAAATGTATTCCGTTGATGTCCCAAGTCAGAATGGCAGTTTGATGTCAATGTGTAAGCTCAAAGTGACGTCCACCTTGACCACTTCAACTACGCTGCTGCCACATGTCAATCCAACCAGTGGCCCAACATCTTACTTGTGTTGACCCCTCGCATATTTCAGCTTTTGATGGAGTTGTGGCCTCAACATTGCCAGGATGCTTTATAAAGGCTTTGCGATGTCATGACCTCTGCACCATGCCCAACACATCCAATGACTACTCGCCTCAGCCCCAAATCAGTAGCCCTGGTCACATAACTTGGGTTATTCACCCTTCTTCCGGCCCAATTGTAAGCTCGCTTACAATGTTCTAAGTTGATTACTCACTGAAATATCACAGATGTTGAACCTCAATGTATGCTTGACCTGTGCATCAACACACCACAACCTGGGCCTTCCAGATATCCTCCCTTTGACTCTGGCACAACTTCCTCTAGAGAGCACTGTTGCTCCTATTGATTCCAACTCAGAAACAGAGCCCGATTCTGCTGCCGAGGACTTGATTCCTGTTGCCAAACCAACGTTACCAGCCTCCGATTCTGCAACGGAGACAGACTCTGGTGCTGAGGACTATGTGCCCATTGTCAAGAAGGAGCCTGATGTCAATCAGAACTCGAAAAATACCATGGTGGTGACTGATTTCCTTCAACTTCTTTATTCATCCTAATCTCTTCAAGTAGCTCACAACAGATTTAAAGCGCCGAAGAGATTTTTCAGTGAACCTGGATGAAGGTGGTATACAGGCACCCAAGCGCAGTTGCAGAAGCTTTATTCACTAAACATGTACTTGTTTTTCAAGTATCTAATAACTGTCGTCGTTTTCTCTGCCCTGTCAAAATCCCAGCCACACTTTCAACATCCTCATCTGGTAAATCCTCGGATTCGGGTTCAGGGTCTGAATGAGCATTGTTGGGATTAAGTGCTTCTTTCTTGGCTTTTTTAGTGGCCAGTGTTGCCTTGCACTTTTGTTGGGTGGTTTTTCTGTCTGAGAAATGCATAGACATGTGGCAACATCATAGTGGTGGGCCCTCTGACCTTCGTAAAGTGGTTTGGGTCTTGTAAGAACACATGGAAGAGCTTGACGGAGCATATTTGCATTGTGGAGAGCATAGGTGCAGATGAGAAAATGGTTGTTGTCAGCATGTGAAATGAGTTTGTTCATCTGCGATGTTAGTTCGTGTTCTTGTCTCTGAGCCTGGAGTGTGGTTGCCTGACATCTTGAAAGTCGGCAATCATGTTGTACCGAGAACACAAATTGGATCGACTAGATATTTTCAAAATCTGAGTACAGAAATAAGTTGTATATGATAAGTCTTACTTGAGTAGAAATAACACTGTGCATTGGGCCATCTGGAGGTCAAGATAAAACTGGCGAATTGAAGGCTGGGTGTAGTTCACTGCCGATGTTGAAGAGCTCTAGTGTGACCAAACCCTGTGCTGAGGATGTACCTATATCAACTGTTATAATTTCGCATATTCGGCCAATAATGAGTTTCTCCTGTAGTTCTGTTATAGAGTTTTTTCATGGGAGAACAATAAGTAATATCATACCTGATTATCTCTTGCAAAAACCCATGAGAGAATCGAGCACTGATCACCAGATTGGGCAATAAGAGAAAGACCTTGGCGCCAGAGTGAATCTGGCAAGATGGTGGATGTTACGCCACTGCAGAAATTAGACGCCTTCATCTCAGTCCACAGTATTGGAGGCGATTTCCTTTTTCCTTCACAGCAAACAGATCCTTGATGCGAATAAGAGAAAGAATGCCCTCATAAATATATTTTACATACCTGGAACAATTTTCAAGGGAGGTACCCACCCAAGATGCCATTGAATGATGGGATCCTTTTGTAAAACCATCCGCACACTTTCACCAGCCTGGACCCACACACCATCTTGCTTCCAATACCCACCACTGAGAATATGCTTGAGGCGATCCATTGATGCAAACTTGCAAGAAATATCACAACTAGGAGCTTGGTGGTTACTGAGTATGGAGCATAAGCGAAAAATTGCATTAAAGCATTCAAAAACCTCGGTGGAATTTCGAATCGCAGGACCGTAGCGTAAGATGTCTTCAATAATATGGGGTAAAATGTGGAGTTTCATTTTGATGGTAATTTTTGCAGGATCGCCATCGCCAAAGGCATCCAGAACATTTCCGATAAGAATTTCAAGATCACTCTACCCAAAAATGTTGTTAAAACATCAAATGAAGTTATTGAGGGATTTACGCACCAGAATTGCTTCATATCATCAATTTCATGTACCCAAAGAAGAGCCCCGAGCTCGGCAACAGCCTTCACGAGGGCAAATTGACTGGGTGAGGTAATGTTGTGGACATGAAATGGAATAGTTTGCATTAGTGTTTTGAAGTGCTTCCCGATGAGTGCATTCCGATATTGCATCATATATGCTGCTCGAATAGGGGGAACACTTAACCCATCAATATCTGTGGATTGAAGCCAAATGGTGAATAGATTCTGCTCCACTTCAGACCAGTTACTGTGGAGCATGTACCAAACATACTTAATGATTCCAAGGAGAATTGTATGGAGAATTTCAAATGGGGTATCTTGCAATGGATCAAGACCTGCGACCATATTCATCAAAAATGTTTGATAACGATGGGAATATTTTTCTTACCATGAATCTAGAGGATTGGATTAATCTTGTCACCAGGTTGCGCTTCAAACCAATCACGAAGCTCTTTGGCGATCTCATCTGCAGACTTTCCAGGATCAGATGCTTTCATTTGGTGCGATTTGGAAAGTAGTACTTCGATCCAGTGCTGCGCTACCTTGTCCTTAGTGCCGGTTGCTGTTTGCAACTCCAAAATGGGCTTTTCAACACCATACATTGTAAGATCTATTTGTTTTTCAAGTAGAGCACAAATGTTGTTTGCCGTGCACTTGATTCCCACCTATATATATATATAAAACACAAGGAGCCAGTACAAAAGTTTAGGAATGACACATCGAATCAGAAAACCCACATAATGAAGTGCATGATATCCCTCATTAGACTCGGTTAACTCACGTGGCCCTCCTGCAAGACATTTTCGACACGAACAGTTAGCATTACCCCCCATGTGTGAAGCTCCTTCAGACTGCTGCGGATTATCAGCGGGTAGTCCGGGGACCCGCAGAATAACACGGCAATTTCGTTTTGTCTCCGCATTATAACAGCAAACAGGGTCAGTGTGAGTAGCGCTGGGGCTTATCAACTCTTTAACCGAATATAAGCAACTATAACACTTACTTTATTTGATCCTTCAGGACAGAAAACTGTTCAGGAGATGTTGCGTGTGGAGATGTTGAGACAAATCGAACAAAAAACTCCTGTTGAAGTAGTTTCCTGGGGAGGTTGGAGTTCACAGAGTAGATATTGATGTGTTTGTTGTATTGCTTCGATTTGTTTCCCGAGACATCGTCAGCCCAGAGCGGAATCATCACGACAACAAGGTCATCGTCGCCTGCCAGCTCACGCAATTTGTTGGGCATTGTTGGAACTGGTGCCGTTTCCGCTGTCAAAAGAAAGTCAGGTAATTATGGAGTATCTTGGAGATATGAATATTCCATACAATTCCATCTGATTTCACCCCCGACCCGAGCAATCACATCTATGTAGTTATACCTGAACTGATTTGCAGGAATACTACGGAATGTTTCAGTTATCTTCCAACCGTTCTTAGCCAACAATAAGCATTGGTCCATATACATGAAGGTACAGAAACATACTGGAGTCATGAGAACATCGTTGGAATCAGCACATAATTCACCATTTCTTGTGATCCAATTTCTGGGAATAGCTAATGTACCGTCGTCGAGCTCCGAAATTTCATCAATGAAGAATTGTCGTAAACCTCAGGAGAACATAGTAGGCGTGAGTTCAGAGGGTTTGAACTCTCTCCAACGCTCTGCCTGCCAGACCTCTGAAATGGGACCAGTGGTCTCCTCTGGATACAGATGAAGGTGCTTGGCGATTTCCGGATTTGCAAAATCCTATGTTTATATTGCGGAATTTATTTGCTGTTGTTGTCTATGGCGCTTCACGTTCAACGTTCAAGGCAAGAGCAACCGTCCACATCCTCCTTGTCCCCCGCCAGCTTGGTCTCTGCCTTGACAATGCCACTGCTTGCAGTCCACATCCCCATGTCATTCCTCTCAAACAGGGCCTCTGATTTGCAAAAGGCCACCATCTGGTGCGTATAAGATCCCTCGAGTCGCCCACAACCTCACTCATCTGCACAGATCTTCAACATGTCCGATACCTCTGCTAGTCAATCATCCGCGGAAATCGACCCCATGCTCGACTTCCTTCAAAGCTTCAATGCGACCACGTCCTCAAGCCCTGGTGCCACAGGCTTGCTCGCCGACCATGATGAACTACGCAGGGACGACGATTTTGAAGATGACTCACCCCTCTCTCATCTTTCACATGCGGCGGCTGGTGTTCCTTACACCCCTTTTCAACATTTCGGTCAGATTATGAAGGCTAAGAAGTCATTCAACGCGCAAACCGCAGCTGAGTTTGACGCATTCTGTTCGGTATGCCACTTCAACAGTCATTTTGGGATGAAAGTGACTTTCTCTTAGCTCGTGTCTCCGGACGATCGTGCTATTATGCTCTTTGCAACAATCCTCGAGACCCGAGACCTGATCTTGGCCAACAAGAAGGCTGATAAGTGGGTGATCAGTAGTGAACTCAAGGTATGTCAAGCCTTATCCTCAGCTCTTTTTGTAATGATTCATCGCACAGGAGAGCGCTCGTATATACTCTCGGGCATTTATCCTCTCACCCACCACAGTGGCTTACCGTGGCGATGCACCCAAGCACATAATGGTGAGTCTATGTGGTTCCACTTTGCCATGTCTGATGATCTTCAGGCGGCGATGCGCTCGCTCAACGTCGGTGACATGCCCCCCGATAAGGAGGTTGCGAGGCTTGACCTGCTGCGCAAACTAATAGTGAAGTTCCTCACTGATTGCCACAACGCTTTGAAAGAAAAGGTAATATGACGATGAAGCTCACTGATGCAGCGCTCATCACTGGTTTCAGATCAAGAACTCCCTCGCTGTTGACTCACCAATGCGCAATATTGCCGACCTTACCCACGCTGTGATCAGCAACACACCCATTCAACCAACGTTACAACACTACATGCGGATGGCTTTTTTGGTTCGTCTAGCTTCTCCATCATGCGCTGATGCTTCCTCACACTCTTTTCTAGCGTTGGTACTATGTCAAGTATGCCAATAAAGTTCAGGATGATGGATGGTGGCTGAAGGTCGATGAAAGTCTGGAAAATTTTTGCACCGAGTTGAAGGATGAACTCAAGATCTCGCAGTAAGTCACCCCTTTTTGGTGCGGAATCATTTCCTGACCAGATCCTATTAGAGCTTTCAACAGTCTTTACCAGAAAGACAAACTGGAGTACGGGGATCCTGCCGACAGCAGCCATCAAGTCACCGAGCCGAAGGATGTTGTTTCATGGCAGAGCACCGTCAACGATCAGGCAGCTCAAATTCAAGGAAAGACCAAGAAGCGTAGGCGCAACGTTGATTAATCGGAAACATTTATGCCGTGTATACACTTTGTATCGCCTGTTATAGCTACTCGATTGACATCTTTATAATCACTTTTGGTTTTCATTTTCATCGTTTGAATAGCAAAAATACTGTGACATGGTGATACTCCAGGATCTCGTTATTTTCACAATTCTTAAGGATTGTGGCTACGTTGTGAAGAATCTTTTGATTATAATTTGGCTGATATAACTCTGATGTTCAAGTCTGTATTATATCTAGCACACTTCCTGACCATATGAGGACACTCAATTATCTTGTTCCATCAATGTTGTCAATAGAAACGTCAAAAAAAGGTTCAGCTCTCAGAAAAATACAAATTTGAGTTAAGGCTTCGGTAAAATTTGACGTCTGACAAACGAGTCATCCACCCTCCTGACTTGGTGCTTTTTAGGCCCTCTCGCAAACCTCCAGCTGACATCCCTTTCGTTTTGTGGTGTAGTAGGGAGAAAGAAAAAGGAGAGGAAGAGAAGCGAACGTACGCGTCCTTTGCCAATACAAGTTGCACCACCCTATCACACGCCTCAAAAGACCCAATGTCCCCCCCATCCATCGTCACCTTCCTCTCCACACCTGTCACTTCATCCTTGACAGTCACAACCATCCGTGTACCCCTCGCAAGACACGGATTCCCCACCACCGCCTTCGGCTTCGTACCCTGCAACATCGACATGAAATCCGCCAATCTATGAACGTGTCTCCGTGCACGCATCAAACCAGACCCCAAGTATGAGTGTTGGTACAACACATGGTTCCGGCCGCCGAACTGCAGATCGTACTTATGTTCTCCGTCCTCGAGCTGCATATCCGACGAAGCGAGCACGGGTTCGAATACGATTTGCGTAGAAGCGCCACTGAGGTCGAGGACGGTGTAGGTGGGTGCATCAGGCGGCGTGGAAGCTTGATGGTACCCAAGAGATAGTTGGCCGTTATCCACGCGTATACGCCTTCGTCTTTGAAATCCATGATCACTACCCCATCTTTTTCCTGTGTTTGGAAGGGATAGGATGACCGAATCCTCCCTTCCACCGCCTCCAAAATATCAGCGCTCTGTGAGCCCCGTAACAAACGAAGTACAGCGGTAGCTTTGACGGCTACAGGTGTACCCGTGCAAAGCCTTAGGCACAACGCGGACAGCTTCGTCCAAGAGGACGTCTAGGCTCCGCGCAGCGCCCTCAATTCGTATTCAGGGGAAGGGCCGCAGTTGTTGATAATGTAGACATGGATTCTGGAGCCGGTTGGGCCCGCGTCGATCATTAGTGCGTATCGTACGAGGGTGCAGGAATTGGAAGACAAGGAGTGGGGGTGGCTACAGTGCGTCATCGATGAAGGCTTCTGGATCAGATTCGTACGAGCCTGGGTCTCTGTGGTGATTTTGGGGCAGGACGGGTAGATGTTGTTGTTGGTTTTGTTGTTGGAGTTGTGTTTTGGCGCTCTGACCCTTTGTCCGTAGTCTTTTCGTCAGTTTTCCAGAAGGAAAGACGGTGAAGCTTAACATTCACCTCTAACTCAGTGTTTCCATCCCCCCTTCAGAACGTATCCTCCCCCAACCCCCAAAGCCACGTCACCTCAACGAGAAACGCAGCGCACACCGCAAACTTCTTCCACGCCTACCTCTTCGTTCCATCAACTCTACTCGGCCCATGGCGCCTTATAGACGTTCGTAGTTGCTGCTCCAGGGACATAGAGTTGCCATTAGGTATCGTGACGGGAGGTGACGTTGCTGGTGGGAGTATTGAAAGTTGTGGCGCGAACGAATCCGATAGTGGTGACTTTGGGATTGATCGAGTTTCTAGCGGTCGTCTTTCCGCTGTCCAGCGCACGGTGGAGTGGAGCCGCGAGATGAGCCAACATCCTAAGGGATGGGAATGGAGAACGTGGCTTTGGGGTTGTTGGGGAGACTGGATTGTGGAAGAGCGTATAGTAGCGTTTGAAAGCAGAATCAGCTGTAGGGATTCATGAGAGGCCATGGCCAACATGAGAGGAGACATAAACTTACTGGGTTTGAACCTTGCATTTTCGATGCACCCTATATTCCAGCCAGTTCCCCAGCGATGTTGTACGAGCCGATGAAACTTCGAGCGGACGGGGTCAGGCAGGTCAGTCAGGCTTCAGGCCCAGGATTTGGGATATCTGGCTGGAGCAAGCCGTCTAAGGGGCGCGATCCCCGAGCTGGAAGCCGTGGCGGATAGACTGACTACCACTGAGCAGCGCAGTGCATATCTGCATGCGGAGCATCAATATGTGAAGGTGAGTGAGCCTTGAGTTTGAGCAAGAAAGCGAACACACCTCTGAGTTCTCCGGCTCACAGAAAGCAGCGCTCGCCCTCGGATCGCCAGCCTACAAAACGAAAGAGAGCAAACGAGCAATAGTTAGTCATTGTTCTCCAAATAGAAGGATCCAGCAAGCATGGCTGTCGGTCTTAGTACAACGCGAGGTCAACGTCATCGACAAGTTGATCAAATTCAAACAAACATCTCGTGAACGTCTCTTCGCATTTCAACAGGTTTACTTACTGTACCTACATAACTACCATCCTATTACCTCCAACTACAACTCCTACTTTTACAGTCCGAGGTGTTTGTCTCCCTAGCCAACTTTTATGCTATCGCCGAAACAGTACGGCTTGCAACGGAGAGGGATCTGGGTAGATGACGAGGTCAAGGTGACGTTGAGGCGACGTTAGAGGGAGTTGGGAAATTCAGTCAGTCGAATAAATGGCGTGGAGAGCGCCAAACAACCCCGGATTTGTATTCGCCACTCGTCCGCCCGTCCGAAAATGCCGGGTATGGGAAACTCTGCAGGTTGTTTCGACCAACCTGTCGAAGCGGATCGACACCCGAAACGAAAGCGCGAGGCCCACAACCACGTCAGACGAAAACCAGTAGGTCTTCCCCCAATGGTACGAAAGGCGACTTGGTGATGCTTGCAGGAGAATGCGATGGGTATTCTGCAGTTTCGAGACATTATTAGTACAAGAGCCAGCTGTTGGTCGATTCGTTAGCGAGAATATCAGCATGAGAAAGCGGCGTAAATTTACCGGAAACTCCACGGATGCTCGAGCGAGCTGATCTCCCACCAGTTCCCCGGAGATGCTGCACATTTCGCGTCGAGGAATCTGGGCTCAGTGAGTCTTCACAGACGGTGGAGACTCTAAGCCGATGTCATGAGACGTATGACTCGAACATAAGGCGACGTCTGACAGGACTCCACCTTGTCCGGAGAACTCGGACCTCTGAGCATGTGCACCCGGGACGATATTGGACCGCCCGTCCATCATCTAGAACAAATTGATGAGGCTGAGATATAGAGAACAAATTGGCTGATATCGTCCTTCAGCAACTTTCAACCCAACTCCAATGCCAAGGAAGTCCCACCGCCAGGACTGGATGTGAAGAGACCGCTCCAGCATATAGACGGCAATCCCAGTGAGTTATGATGAAGCACGACGATGATTCCACAGCAGAAAAGCAGGTCCCAGTGGCCGTCCCATCATTCAAAACAACAATGAATCCAAGTTGAAGGAGGAACGAAGCTAAAGGCTGGATCCTCACGTCAGAGAGAGATCCGAAGGTGAAGAGTCTCTAGATGGCGGTCCTTTGAATTGGGGTATGTAGATGAAGAACAATGCTGCACGTTTTAACTGACAAGGCAAAGGCAAGGCGTGGATGGAAATATGGAAGTTGATAACAATGGGTTTCTACTGTCGTTGACACTTCTCCATCCGAAAGATAAGAGCAGCTCGTACTCTGGGTCCTTGCAGTTGCTGCATCGACAGAGTGCGTGCAATCAGCAGAAGGCGATGATGGCGAGGAGTAGACGCAAAGGGTTGCGACGTTCCGGGCAATGAGCGGGGGTTGTGAGGTGTGTTGAGGTAGAGATGATGGGAAAGGGGGAGCAGCTCGCGTATATGAAGTTTTTGGGAAGCTGTTCCAGCGTGCATCCATGACAAAGCTGTGAAAGGGGATCGATGACCCAAAAGGTATGCGCGGATACAGCAGAAGACGACAACAGCGGAGGAAACCCAGAGGGTACCTCCCAAGAAGCCGACTGGGGCTTGCAGAGAATGTGATAGATCTTCTTGAGACATAGTACAAGAGCTAGCTGTCGGACGATTCGTTAACCACCAGACTAGCATGAGAAGGAGCGCATACTCACCGGAAACTCCGTGTACCTTCCAGTGAGCTGATCTCCAGCCACTCTTCCAGAAACCTTCTAGTGAGCTGATCTCCAGCCGCTCTTCAAGGGGCCTTCCGCGTAAAAGACGCTGGGTTCAACGAGCCGAACATCTTCGAAGATCGCGGATGCTTACAAGGCAACCTAACGACGATGCAAGGGTGTTCCAAAGGCGACGTTCGTCTGTCCTGGCGAAGAGTTCGAAAGCACGACTGAGGCAGAGGACAGACTGTTCGGAAAGGTGGGTGAGTTGAGCTTGTCGAAGTTGGATGGAGGGCGCAAAAGAGGGGGAAGAGAACAAGTGAAATGATGAAGTTGGAGGGTAAATCGAAGGAAAGAAATCGCGAACGAAAAGTGAAGTTGCACAATATGCGCTGAAGACGAAAGGGTAAGAAGCGCGGCGAAAGGACCAAAAAGGAGACCGTAGGAGACTAAAATCCAAAAGGACACCCACCTACACAAACTCCCGATGAAGGCGCATAGATCTTGAGCTTTAGTACCCACATCCAAAGTCAGGCTAAAGGACATGCTCGCTGGTGGACTTGTCTTGGTTCGTAATGTGCTGGACTATGAGGGTGGAAGGTGCAGGAGTATGTCGAACAAGCTTGACGCTGGTCATTGTCCATCTTTCCGTTTCCAAAATCGAGACCCGCAGCAGTCCCAGTCGGCGATCCACCCAACCCACCAGCACTGGCACTCCCCTCTGCGTTATCCTCCTTTTTCAAAACCACGAAATAAACAGCAAGCCACTAAGCCGATGATAAGGATCGCAGCCTAGATGCGTGCAGAAATTGGGTCCGTCGTTCTCAACTGAAATCTAGCCACGGTCGGTTCTCCGGCTGGTGAGTCGCCCAAAGCCTCCCCCCGCCACGCTACTTGCAGCCAACGCAGGTGGTTGTTCCTCATTCGAGGTGTTATTATTCGTTGCACCGAGGGCTTTTGAAGAGTCCACAGTAAGAGACGAGCGCCCGGAAAGGTAGGCGGGTGTAGAAAGTAATCGGACTGGCGGAAGGGGGGTAAGTCGCCTTATCGAGGAACATGTGAGTCGTCTGCTGTTCGGTTGATGATGCGCCTTGTGGGAGGTGGCGAAAGGCTGTGGTGATTGGCGCAGAAAGAAGGTCGATGAACCCGGGTGGTTGAAGCGCCGACTGGTCTGTGGCTGGTGGATGGTTGACGGCCATAGCTTCGCAAGTGGATGGTGGTGATGAGTGTTTGACAGAGGACGGTGGTGGGTCCTCTTCTTGTATGAAGGGGGAGATGTACAAGGATGGTAGGCCGTCGCGAATCTGTGGCACGTCGTCCTAGCCGAACCGCCAAGGCTCTCCCTAGATAATTATCCAACACTGCAGGAATGCAACGGCATCATATGGCGAACACGAGTTGAGAAGGTGAGGTAACGTTGTACATTCTGCTTCGGGCTGGAAGGAATAGAAAGCCCGGGTGTTGGAACTCGGTATTGCGGGTGAAAGATGGCAGCAGTGCTCTTGGGTTTCATAGCTTTCGGGTGAGGTGATACTGCACGATATAATGGCCATAGTTGGAGGACCAACCGAACCGCCACGTAGTAGCACGTTGCAGGGCTTCAGAGAACTAACATCAGAATGCGAAACTGGCGGAATGGATGGCAAACGCACCTCAGTTATCCAACCCAGCTTCAGCTATCAAATGTCCTCAGGCGAAATCGGAAAGGCGAACGGATCACTAAACCATTGTGCTGTGAGGTCTTGAGGGTGCAGAGCCAATAATGAGAGTGATAGCTGGCGGCCCTGTAGTCCGCGCTACGTGTTGGATGTGTTGGTCGACGTCAAACACATGATGGTGGTCAAGATCAAACTGCAGTCAAACTGTAAAGATGACAGCCTCCCACGTCAACGCTTGTGACAACGACTCACGCGTCTCTTCTTTGACCTCTGTCGATCGTTTCGAAAAAGGCGTCCCTTTGGGACTTGTGCTCATTATGAGCTGCTGCTCTAGGATGTCGGCTTTTCTGGCCTACGCGATGGCCCTTTTGTCTGGTGCATTGGGTATTTTTGCGAGGGTCAGGAGTCGTTTCTACGGCGGCTCATACCAATATACGATCCAGTGATGTATTCTTTGTCCCTCTGCCAATTGAACTCTTATCAATCCTTTCGTTAGTCGTCAGATTT